TTGCGTCAGAAATCAGACACCCCTTTGACACGCCGCTGCCAATAGAAGATGCCAATCTGAAAGCGATTCAGGCTTTGGTTAAGGTCCTCACTTTGTGGCGAACTTCAGAGTGGAGCAGCTCAAAAAGTACATGGCTCTTGCCAGGAATCTTGAGCCCAAAGAACGACTGCTTAAGGAGTCTATGCATCCGGATGTCCGGCAGGTCATGCAGTCAAAGCGTTTGCTACTGATCGGAAAGATGCTGAAGATGCAGGCGTTCAGGATGAGCGGCTACTGCAAGACATGGTCGATGGTTTCCGCTTGGTTGGGCAACAGCCTCCCAGCGGACAGTTTCCACTGAGTTTAAAACCTGCCGCAATTGATGTGGAGTCCTTGAAGGAGTCTGCCAAATGGTCCAAGCACATGGTACAGGCATCGTGTCGCCGGGCAGCAGCAGACGAACGAGTTGCAAAGGCTGTTTGGGAAGAAACCATGACGCAGGCAACTGACGGGTCTGGGTGGCTTCAAGGCCCTTTTGAGTGGGACCAGCTGGAAGAGGAGTTTGAGTCCACGTGGGTGCCCTCGAAGCGGTTCGGGGTCGTGCAAGGTGAAAAAATCAGTTTCTCATCAATGCATCTGTTTCCACGTCGGAGAGGATTTCTCTCGAGGGCCTTGACGAAGTAGTTGCAACCAGCAGGTTTTTTCTGGGAGCCTTGCAAGGGAAGGGAATGGCGTTGATTCCGCAAGTGGACGGTGGGGTCAGACGTGTTCCGGTGCACGAGGCGTGGAGCTCCAGAGATGTGAGCGATTTATTTGGCCGGGCACTGGACCTGAAGTCCGCGTACAAACAGCTGGCCCGCCATCCCAACGATGCGTGGGCTTCCATTCTGGCGGCGTACGATCCGGCAAGTGACGCAGTGAAGTTCTTCAAGGCAGTGGCCTTGCCGTTCGGTTCGGTAAGCTCAGTTCTTGCCTTTAACAGAGCGGCGAGAGCATTGAGAATGATTCTCAGCAGGCTTTTCTTGTTGGTGAACACGAACTTCTTCGATGATTTTTGCCAGATGGAGACAGCCGTCCTCCAAGAGTCAGCGCACAAAACGGCGGAAACGGTGATGCAGTTGCTGGGCTGGACTATCTCCACGTCCGAGTCAAAGCGTAAGCCTTTCAGAAAGGTTTTTGACATGCTGGGAGCGACAATTTCATTTGAAGAGAGCGTTTCAGGAGTCGTGATCGTCAGCAACAAGGAAGGTCGCCTGGCTGACATTCGTTCCCTGGCAGAAGAGCTGTGCTCTGAAGGTGCATGCAGTTCATCCAAGCTCGCATCCTTGAAAGGACGCCTTCTTTACGCTGCAGGGCACACAATGGGCAGGTGCTCGCAGTTGGCCATCCAACTGATAGGTATCGCAGTCAAAGAGCAGGGTGAACTTGTTCTCTCACACACCGTCAAGCAAGCAATTGCTTACGCGGTTGCTACCTTGTCTGCCGCGCCTCCGAGGAGGGTGCAGCCATGGTCCACTGATATGCCTATTGTGGTTTTTACAGACGGCGCTTGTGAGGACGAGCTGGCGTCGGTCACGCACGGGGCCGTGGTGTATATCCCTGGCAGGAGAAAGCGTTTGGTTTTCGGAGATGCAGTGCCCAGACAGTTTGTCGACTTTTGGGCCCGGAACGGCAAGAAGCAGGTGATATGCCAGGCTGAGCTTTTCCCAATCAATGTTGTCAAGAACACATTTGCAGATTTGCTCGCAGGCAGGAGCGTTTTGTGGTTTTGCGACAACGAGGCAGCAAGATCTGCGCTGGTAAAAAGTTACTCCCCGATCCTCCACAACTTTAACCTGTTAATGCAGAGTGCTGAACTTGACCTGAAGCTGGGCCTGACTAACTGGTACTCTAGGGTCCCTTCTTCGAGCAACATAGCAGATGCGGCATCACGGTTGAAGTGGGATGAATATCCAAGAGAAGACTTTGAGATTGTGGAACCCTCGTACGAAGGCCTTCCCGTGGAGTTGTCAAGATCATAGAGGGGAGGGTGGCACGTGAAGGCAAAGGCTGAACCGTGTGAAGAGAAGCCTTCGATGGACCTCCCCGATCTTTGGCACACACGAGAAAGAAAAGGCGTGAGACCTTGACTGCGGTTCATTTGCATGTGTTCAGTTTCTTTTTGCACCTAACGGATCACGCCGACCTCGTGGCCCAAGTTTGGTGGTGCTGGGCGCCCTTTGAGTTTTTTTTCTTTCTTATGACCATCCGTACAATTGTAGAGTTTCTTGTTTGGGTCAGGTGTGGGCGTAGGAGTAAGTGGGATGTTACTTGTGACGATACTTTACCATGAAGACCACTCCTGAAGTCATGAGAGCATAACGCCGCAAACAGGAACGTTTGACTCCGGCTTGCTTGCCTTGTCTTTTTTTTGGGTGAGCCTTGGAGCTCCAGAAAAGCGGTGCACACGCGCCGGCCTGCTATGTGCACGCAAGTGGCAATGCCAGGAAAGGATCCATTGAGTTTTGACACTTGGATTTTGCAGAACTTGGTTGAACAAGTTTGATTTTTGACCGAACATATTTGAACACAAACAGGACGCACCCGTTTGCCGATCTGTGTTGCGTGTGTTCAAGAGGGTGGGTGGGAGGGATGCCCCTTCACGTTTGGCGTCGACCCGCCCGCCCGACGGACAGGATGGTTGCGTCAGGACGGGACTCAGTGGCAACAAGGAGGGCGTGGGCCACGGCCGCAAACTGAAAAGGCTGGCACGCGTCCAGGAACCGTGTTGCAAAGCTTTGAGCCAAGGAGCGAGCCACCAAACGCCGCAAGAAGTCACCAACCACGATCCCTCGGACGCGTGCATTGGGTTTCTGAAGGGCGACCATGCGCCCCAGGCCAAAGGCCGCTGCGATGCACGGTGGGGCGCCAGGGCGGAGGCAGCACGAACAAACGAGGAACCCAACGCCAGACGGCAGAACTCCGCAGTGTAACCGGTGGGGCCGGCAGCAGCTCCTTTCCGAGCCCGCCGCAAATTGCCAAGGAAGCTGTGAGCACGACATCAGGTTGGAAAGCCAAAATTGCAGGATCGATGGAGTCATACGGCTGGTTGGGCCTCCGGGCGGGGTCCTGCAACTCGGCCAGGGTGGGGGGTGTGAGCGGGGCCAAGGGTCCAGAAACTAATCGCGCAGCTCGCTCCGCACGACGTGCTGGATCGGCCGGGGCGGCGGGGGGCGGGGCATCGGTTGCAGCTGGAACGCACGCAGCGGCGGACCCGAGCAGTGCCTCCCACCGGCCGGCTTGGAAATCCAAAAGCCGGGCACGCCACTCGGGCTTGGTAAGCCTGGCAGTAACAACCAAAGAGTCCATGCTCGAGTCTGCTCGGTCTCATTGTCAGGCCTGGCGGAGTCGATGGCCCGCAGGGCAAGAGACAAGGGCGCCCGGAAAGGGCTGCGGAGGAACTTCGGGGGGCTTTGGAAAAACAAGCGCCGCTGCTGAAGGACACGTGGCAAATCAACCTGGTCAAGCCGGGCAAGGGTTGCTCGCACGGGTGGGCTTTCAAGTTCCGGCATTCGAGGCAAAGACAAAGGAGCTGCCGAGTCTGCATCAGGCATGGGGTCTGCCGGGTCGCCTGCCAGGGGCCGCGGAAGGCGAAGAAGGCGGCCCGGGAAGTCCAGGCTCTCCGGCTGGGGGCGGCTGTGCCAGTGGGACGGGCGTTGGAGCTCCCACTGGCGTCGCTGGAAGTCCAGGGCGGGCTGCGGGCGGGGCCCAGCAGGGCCACCGGATCCTCGGGAAGTCCAAGAGCATCAGCTGGGTGGCCTGGCCGGGGCGCCGCGGAAGGCGAAGAAGGCGGCCCGGGAAGTCCAACTGGCAAGCACAGTGATGAAGCAGGTGCGGGAGCCACCACTGCAGCAGGGGAACAGCCGGGAGTGGCCGGCTGTTTTCCAGTTTGCGCTGCAAGCTCGCGCTGGCACTGACTGCCTGGCCTCAATGCTGCGGGTCGCTGTGGAGCTCAACTGACGGCCGCAGCGCCTATGACTGTGTGTCACGGGCCGTTTTCCTCCACAAGCTCGAGGAAGTTGCTCCAGCCCTCTTGCCGTTTGTGCGAGGCTACTACGCACGGCAGTCTGTCTACCTGTGCACGAGCTCTTGGTAGGGGATGAGGCCGCCGCGCCCTGCCTTTGCGAGGCGGCGTGTGCGCTTGCCGTCCAATAGTCGGCCAACAGGGCGTCCACTTGCGCCGAGGTGTAGTATGCCAGCAGCGCCTTCGCGATGGCGCTGGGTGGCCAGGACCACGCTGCAGCCGCTGCTGGGACGAACCAACCAGTTCGCCAGGAGACGTCTGTGGGGCCCAGAATCTGCAGCCAGGACCTCGTCGGCTGCGCCGTCGTCCGGGAAGCGCTCCACACGACAGCAACCCTAGTGCTATATGGTTGGCAGCTTCGCGCGTCTCGTGTTCTTCACACCTACTTTCGCAAGCGCGTCCGATCGGGCTTGCTTTCGGTCCCAGTCAGGGCCTCATCCCGACTGACGCCGGCACCATGCATCCACCCGCCCACATGCATGTCGCCTCGCGTCGGCGCCTTGCCTGCCGCTGCCGTTGGCATATGGGTTGTGTGGCGGTGCCGGGGTGTCTGGTTGTGGGGCGGTGCTCGATGTCCTCGGCGACCATGCTACTGCGTGTCCTCGCAGCGGCAATCGAAGCCTTGTCAGTCCAGTCTGAACTCGCCTACCCTCCTCACCCTATGGCCCGAGGGGGGCAGCACCCCACCATCGTCATGGCCGGGGTCCTGTGAAGCAAGAGAGCCGTTGTTTTTTGTGTGCAGAGACTTGCGCGAAGCTAACGCCCACTCCACCAGACCCCACGTCCCCGTCCACGTTAGCCGCCCCGTGGGCCGGAAGTGCAAACCCGAATGAAAGCAGCTGCTTCCAGTCGCCGCCCCGCAACGAGGCTGCGCCGTCTGCATTGGCCGCGCCGTTTTGCGTGGTGCTCTGCCCGCTGAAACGGTCGACATATGGCTTGTGCTGGCCCAATTGGATCTAGCGGTTTCATTTCTGGCCACCTCACGCCACTATGGGTGACTGCCAGACCAAGGAGCAGGCGGGGAGCATGCAAGATATCAGGCCCCTGTGCGTGTCACAATGTGTACCCCACATTGACCAACCCCAATTTATGAACATGGGGGTGTTTCCTCCAAAAGTGCTGCATCTTGTTCCAGTGCGAATTTCCCAGATTTCGTGCAAGCGAACTGCTGCTTGGAGTGAGTCCTTGCTGCCAGTGTTTCCGAATCTTGGCTTGCGTGGCTGCCAGGTCACGGAGAGGCTGGAAGCCGAAGAGGAGAAACCATTCCCCGCATTTGCATTGAAGCCAGAGATTTGTTGAGGAAATTCATTTTCCCGGGATCTCTTTACGTTGTTTCTGTGCGCGCCGCGTCTTGTCAAAACAGCAGCGTTTTGGAAGGCCCTTCCGGCCTGGGAGGGGTCCACAGCCGGGAGGTGATTTTTTTCCTTGGTTCCAGCGAAGTGCTGCTTGAAGTGTAAGCGGCAGGGAAGGACAAGTTGAGGGGGAGACAGGGTTAGAGGTACAGGTTTTGATTGCCGAGCACGAGCGGTTGAACGGAGCGGCCCGGCACGCAGGAACAGCTGAAGCGGGACTTCGAGTTGTCCCTCGAAGCTTTGAAGGTCAGGGGGGAGTACAGGGAGGGTAGGCCGCGCAAGCCAGTCCAAAGGAAACCAGAAGGACACCTATCATTTGGGGGGTCCAAATGCATAAGCATTTACGTTTTCTTTTGCAGCGTTTTGCTGCTGCATGGCAAATTCGCGGTCAAACAACAGATCAGTGAAGTGGTGCTTCTTCGCTCGTAGGATGTCATGGCTGCTGTCAAGGCTTTCCGTCCCTGCGGGTGTCATAAACACAGAACATGTAATGCGCATTGATTTCAAGAGTAATTAGTTCTTTGTAAGTTCTGTGCGCCTGTGGCTCTGCGCAAGTTCACTCTGCAGGTTCCCCGCAGAAGACCTCTGCTCAAACTTCTCCGCCCAAGTTCTCTATACAAGTTTCTTTTTCGCCGTTTCTTTGTGCAAGTTCTCCATTCACGTTTCTGTGCACAAGCTGTCTGCGCAGCTTGCTGTTTGTCAGAGGGTGTGCGTTTGGTCCCACCGCACCGCCTTAACAGTATGCTTAATTTCTCGTCTACTTTTCTCGTGCGAGCTTTCTCGTGCAAGTTGGCTCGCGTGCAATTTGTTGCATGTTCTCTCGTGCCACTTGTTTTGCACATGCTCTCGTGCTTCTTGCTCTCCACGTGCTCCTCGCGGGTGCTGTTGCGCATCTTGCTGAGCGGGTCCTCTCATGCATCTTGCTCCGTGCGCCCTTTCGTGCATGTTGCTGCGCGATGGGGCGAATGATCCAGCCGCAGGGCGCACGGCACTTAGGCGCGCGGCGCGCGCCAGGAGTGCGACCAGCTGACGCGGGTGCCGCATCTGCTCATCGAGATCCGGTCCCTAGGCTTTGTGGAGATTCAGGGGAAGGACCGGGTACCGGGTCGAATCGAATCGACGAGGTGTCGGGGTGTGATAAATCGGCGCACCCCTCCCTCCCAGAGTTCGGGCAAACGGCGGATTAATCGGATGTGCTCCCAGATGTCAGGCATTGACGACTTCCGATCTTGAATGGGGACCACATACTCATCAGAGGAAACATTTTGCATTAGAGATTTGCCCCGCTGAAGGGATTTGCCGTGTGATAACTTCGCTTTGTTGTCAACTGTGTCACGCCCTGAATCACAAAAATATGGTGGTGTCCTTCAGTTCCCCCTTTTGAACAACCCAACAGGATACCACAGCAAATTGCCACATCCACCTCCCATTAGGATACCGGGGGCATCTACCAGAAGCTGGACAGCTGGCTGAAACAGCACTGGTGGCTCGGACGCGAAAGCAAAGGAGGCCTGTTCATTGGTTCGGTGGCTTTGTCGAGACCCAAGAAAAAGCAGCATTTCTGTAGATAGCAAATCGTTGGGTTGGGTTTTTATTGGAAGTCAAAGTCAACCTTGGCTTGTTCACTTGGAAAACAGGGAAGAGGGTCCGAACTTTCCGCTAAAGCCGTTCTGAGTTGGAAGTTGCTAGTGAAGGCTGTCCAATCAAAGACCAGGGTGTGGCCGTCTTTTGGCAGGTTCGTACCTGCGTGCTGCGAAACAGTTGGCAGCTGGTCAATATTTCAGTCATAGGCATTGTTTTTTGGAAAGGCCCACCTCCCGTGGCACACATAGTACGCGAGTGGAGGCATTTGAATGTTGGCATGAACAGCCCTCGCCCTGCTCGCCCTGGCGAGTTTGGTTTCAGCCTGGTGGTGGGGCTTCTGGGAGTTTCGGCTTCAGCCAAAGCAACAGCGACCGTTAGACGGGCACTCCGGATCTCGATCTAGCGCATTCGGGTTCTCGGAATCGTGGAGTTCTTGCTTAGCTTCCTTTGCTTTCTGGGTTCCGGTGCTCAGTAAATTTGGACTGGGCGCCATTCCCGGAGGATGCTCCGGAGGGTGTTGCGTCCGGACAGTTCCCTGTCACCATCGAAGCCCTCCAATCGAATTCGTGGACATGTGCATTGTTGATTTTCAGGCACTGGCTTCTAGCAAGCACGCATCCACACTGATGCCTGAAGCCAAGCAGCTAAGCTTGACAACTAAAGCTAAGCAGGTGAATTCACTGGCGCGGAAAGGCAAACGGAAAGGCCCGCGACGGAACCCGAACAGAGAAAAGCATGCCGGCGATTGCAAAGTTGAATGCCAAAATCGGAGTGAACATATTGGCATCTTGGGATCCGGGGTGCTGGATGTTTGAGCGTCAGCCGGGTGAGCAAAACCAGAGGTCGCCTGGGAGCAAGGACCGACATCTTTTTGCGTTCCACGAAGGCTTCCAGAGAGGTTCGGCCAGTCCGAGGCGTGCCACGGAGAAGACCCAGGATCTCATACTGAAGTGTGCGGAGGAGCAGACACTTGGCGCGCACCTGGGGGTTTCAGGGGTGCTGGGATTCCACGACTAGTTGATGAACGAGTTATGCTTGGAGGGGAGGGGAGCACCTTGGTATGGTCCAACAGTTTGATCACGGTGCCATCAACACTGCTTGCAACAACTCTTTACCTTTTTTGGATGGTTAAATCAACACTTCGCAAGAGGTATTATTTCAAGGTCACACATAAATGAGTGGCTCCCCGCATTTTCACTTTTGCAGCATCCACAAGGGCGCCGGGCCTGAAGAGCGACAAGCCCACTCGTACGGGACGCATGGACGTATGCCGCGCTCCGAGGACTTGCGGATGCTGCGGCTTTGCGCCGGAGTTCGCGGTGGGGACACTGGAGCCGCACCATGCGCTCTGTGACAAGAGCTACACCTTGGGGGAGATGTCCGCTGATGGCAAGGTCTTGTCCAACCACACCTACAAGGACGGCTTCAGTCTTCTGCTGGGCTGGGACAAACGATGAAAGTCAGAGGGGACTACTGCTGCAAGCGAGTTATCCCCGGAGGGACGTTCTTCGGACCTGTGCTGCCCAATCGTGCCCTCCTTGTGTCAATGACGAGGCGATTCTTTGCTTTATTTACTCAGGATGCTGGTATGAAAGCTGCAGCCTGCTGGACAATCATCTAGTTAGGCTCGCGCGCGCTTGACTGGACCTTGGCACACGTTGTAGCCGCCGTGACTACGCTTTGCCATTCCGGTCCGACACCAAACATGATCGACATGGACCTGACCAAGTAGGGAAGGCCAAAACTCTCGGCGAAAGGTCAGCTTCCGTGTCTCATGGGTGTGCAGTGGCTAGGATTTTAGTGGCGGTTGGGGGGGGGGCGGAACTGGGTTAAGTTCGCTTGGCAGAACCGTGGCAGCGAAGGGGAGAACAACATGGGCAAGCTGACGATGCAATTGGCCCAGCTCTTGGGTAGCATAGCCAATGGAGCGGGACAGGTTGTGCTGGGGTTGTGTTTTTTGTGCAGCTGGGCGGGGCCAGTTTCCAGCCGTGGGCTTGGCAAGTTGTGCGGGGTGGTGCTGGTTGGCCTTCGGAGATGCTCTTCCGCCCAAAGCGTTCCTGCGTGACAAGCCTTGTAGGATTTCATTCCGGAGGCAGTTCCTGGGTTTTTGCCACGCGGAAAGAGCTTTGCCTGGTTTGAGGCTCGATTTTCGGTGCCTGAGGTTCCTGACCAACGAATGCGGCTGGACCCTGCAGGTGTGCGACTCCGGCAATCTCGGCTGGCAGGCCGCAATCGCGTGGGTGGGGTTGGGGGGCGGGTTCAAAGTGGGAGCACTGCAACAACAGGCGAACGGGACCTCCTTTTTTGGATGCTTCAAGGGAAGCCGCGGAGGAAGCAGCCAGAATTTTGCATGCATTTCGCAGTTGCCAACGTGGAGCATGCAGTTGGCACCGTTTTCGAATTGCATGGGGTCCCCCAACTCTTCATGAACAAGACTGCGAGAAGGCCAGTTCCTCTTTGTTTCCTCGCGATGCAGGGCGAAATCCGTGAGCAGCAGATGAAGTTCAAGGCGCCCCACCCATTGAACCTCATCGCGCCTCTGGTCATGTGACTGTGGCGGCAAGGCGTCGCGCTTTGAGCCGCAGGAAAGGCCAATACGGAGCCCGTTGCAGAGCCCCAACAGCACAAGAAGCTCATATTCCACACAAGAAAGATCGGGGCCAGGCAGGTGCGCTTGTTGCAAGGCACCCCTTTGGCTCATTTTTTGGGACGTGAAGAAACCTCACGGACGGGGCACCAAGAAACCTGAGGATTGAGCTGCGGCAGGTGGGCTACATCGAGATCAACGGCCAAGACCAGGACGGCATCTACGGCAAGCTCGGGAACTTCTGCCGAACCATGCGGCTTTGGCGAGCGAAAGCACGGATCACGGCGCCAGAGACGTCCCAGGGTTTCCACATTTCAGGTGCAATACGTTCCTCCAAACAAGGACTGGGTAATGAACAGGGCAACTGAAAGGAAATCCCACCCATTTTCAGAGACAGCTCAGTTTCGGGCCTCGTTTGAAACTAGGTTGGCGGAAATGCACGGATTTAGCCCCTGGCTCGAGGAGCTCGGAGGCAACTCAAACTTAAACCATTCAACTCCTGATGAATAGGGGGGCACAGTTTAGAGGGAACATTTTCCAGTGAGAGAAACACACACCCCTATTGGCCCACAAGGTTCATTACTCTGGGGTCGACATTAAAGCAAAGCAGGGAAAACCCAGACCCGAACCTCAGTCGCACCTGGAACAACTGTGATGTTGCGTTTCACGTTTCAAGCCTGGCATGCCAAAGCTTTGGACTTGGGGAAGCCTTTTTGGTCAGACCAACATTAAGTCAGAAAGACCTCGCGCGAGTTCCTTGGCTCTTCCGCCACCTTCCGAGCTTTCTCAGGTGGCAGGCCACTCAGACCCAGGCGGATCGTGACTACTGCGACCTGAAGTTCAAGACCTCGGCCTTCAAGGGCCGAGGGTCCGTGGCCCGGAAGCGAAGCAGCTCACGTTTCGGCCACTTTTTTCGGCGGAGAAATCGGCAGGTCGGCGAAATGGAACGCGTGCGCGAGGGACGAAATGCAACTGCGGGGGGATGCGGGTGCGTTGGGAGTCTGGGCCGGCGCCTGTAACGCCTCAGTTCCCTTTTCATTTTGCCCTGGGACTGACGGGGTTCTCACTAGTTTGAGACCCGATTTCCTGTGGATGCCCACCATTTAAAGGTCACTCAGCGAACAAGTTTGTTTGATTGTTGGTTAGCAGGTTGTTTCGCAAGGAGGCTGGGTGCAGCTGCCTTCGAGCAACATATTTTTTTCTAAACGGGTCCTGGGTTTGCAAAGGAGCCCCTCAATGGAACCACTGATGAATGAAACCATCCTACCGAGGGGGGTGGGTGGTGCGGGGTGGGTGTCACTTCACAGAAGTGAACGACCCCACAAAAACGGGGCGGGGACAGCTCCCCTTATAATCAGCCAGGGGTTTATTCATTCGGGATTCCATTCCCATGAAGGGAAACCCAGCAGAGTAGACGTGGTTTGAGAGTCTCAACACGGAGGAAGGTGAGAACAACATGGGCCAGCGGACCATGGAGCTCGTGGATTTCATGGTGAAGCAATGTCAGTGGACCATGGCTGCTTGGCGCTGGAGTAGATTTGGGTGATTTGGGAGTGTCTTTCTTTCTGGGTAGTTTTTTTTTTGGGGGGTTGCTTCATTTTAAGACAAGCCCCTTTGCTTGGCGGTGTCAGGATGCTCTGACAGTGGCAGAGGCTTGCAGTAACGAGTCAACCCTCGAATCCACGATTGCGCTGCGCGTTCTTCCTTGCCTTTCGGGCGGCACTCAGGTCAGCTGCCAGGTCACCCGCTTGCGTGTCGCTCAGGTCACCTGCAACACAGGGAATTTCGGGCGCCGGGGCGACAAGAGGGAGCAGCAGCTCATCTTCCGCAACGACGAGTTTGTGCAGCACGGCGTGGACCACATCATGATCGAGCTGCGCACGGCCACTGGGAGAAGCAACGGACGGGTGCCGGTCACCCGGGTATGGTCTTGATCACTGGTCAGCTTTGGATGTGCGCATGATGGAGGCTAATGTTGTCCAACAAATCAATCACATCATGACCCCTCCAGGAAATCATGTAGAGGAGTCTGTTAAGATCAGGTCCATTTTTTGAGGCTCCGGATGAATGGTCCGGGGTTGGAGTAGGTACTGATTTGTCGTCGTTGCCTTTGCCCAGACAAATGGCCGCACTGGAGCCAGGAAAAACACAATGGCTTAGCGTCTCTGGTTGGTGCGTGTGTGTGTGTGTGTGTGTGTGTGTGTGTGTCTCTGTGTCTCTGTGTCTCTGTGTCTCTGTGTCTGTGTGTCTGTGTGTCTCTGTGTCTCTGTGTCTCTCTGTGTCTCTGTGTCTCTGTGTCTCTGTGTCTCTGTGTGTCTGTGTGTCTGTGTGTCTGTGTGTCTGTGTGTCTGTGTGTCTGTGTGTCTGTGTGTCTGTGTGTCTCTGTGTGTCTGTGTGTCTGTGTGTCTCTGTGTGTCTCTGTGTGTCTCTGTGTGTCTCTGTGTGTCTCTGTGTGTCTCTGTGTGTCTCTGTGTGTCTCTGTGTGTCTCTGTGTGTCTCTGTGTGTCTCTGTGTGTCTCTGTGTGTCTCTGTGTGTCTCTGTGTGTCTCTGTGTGTCTCTGTGTGTCTGTGTGTCTGTGTGTCTGTGTGTCTGTGTGTCTGTGTGTCTGTGTGTCTGTGTGTCTGTGTGTCTGTGTGTCTGTGTGTCTGTGTGTCTGTGTGTCGTCTGTGCGTCTGTGCGTCTGTGCGTCTGTGCGTCTGTGCGTCTGTGCGTCTGTGCGTCTGTCTGTGCGTCTGTGCGTCTGTGCGTCTGTGCGTCTGTGCGTCTGTGCGTCTGTGCGTCTGTGCGTCTGTGCGTCTGTGCGTCTGTGCGTCTGTGCGTCTGTGCGTCTGTGCGTCTGTGCGTCTGTGCGTCTGTGCGTCTGTGCGTCTGTGCGTCTGTGTCTGTGCGTCTGTGTGTCTGTGTGTCTGTGTGTCTGTGTGTCTGTGTCTCTGTGTCTCTGTGTGTCTGTGTGTCTGTGTGTCTGTGTGTCTGTGTGTCTGTGTGTCTGTGTGTCTGTGTGTCTGTGTGTCTGTGTGTCTGTCTCTGTGTCTGTGTCTGTGTCTGTGTCTGTGTCTGTGTCTGTGTCTGTGTCTGTGTCTGTGTCTATGCATGTATGCGTGTGTGTGTGTGTGCGTTTAGGGGGGGTGGGGGCTGATGCGTGGATGCTGGGTTTAAGTCTAACTTGGGGGAGTCAACAAATGGAACTTTGGGCAGATGTGTTGTAACACAGGTATGCAGAACACGTTTGTCCTGCAAGCGCTCAATGATCCCGGCAACACAAGGCCAAATGGCTATGAATTTCAAGACCTGAATCCCACCAAATGATGTCCACCAAGGAGGGGCGGGGGTCTTAGGCTCGCTAATTTGGTGGGATCCCGGGTGGGAATCGGCTTGAGAGCTGAGGCTGGGTACATCGAAATCAACGGCTTGCACGACGCGAAAGATCTACAGCCAGAGTTGATCAACTTCATGGTGCAGCAGTGGCGCTGCAAGGAGTACACAAAGTACATGTGGGATCCTTGGCGTTTCTTCCCACCGGAGAAGATGTTACTCAAAAAGCCAGACTCTAGCGCGAAGCTTGTTCTTTTTGCCACGCCTGAATGGGTGGCGTCCTGAACATGCGAATGACCTTTGCCGGAAGAACCAAAGGGAAGCCATCCCCGTATTTGAAGAAAACGGGGGGGGGGGGGGGGGTTGTTCAAAAACATGCGTGACGTTCTTCAGTTTGCCCCAATCCCCCTTTGAACCATTCTCGTCCTGAAGGAAAACATCAAGGTGGCCTTGCAGAAAGTTCTTTTTTGACCTTGCACCTTTTACATGTTTGCTTGGTGGCTCCCAGCCATCCCCTTAGCCTTTTAGCCTTTTAGCCTTTTTGTGTTTTGTGGTAGTTCCCATTTAAACCGCTAAAAGTTAGTCACTTTGAGCGAGGGATCTGAGGGCAGCCCAGTTTCAACCCGCGTGGGCGTGATTTCTGGGGTTTGCCCAGGAAAGCTCGGAGAACTTCTGCGATTTGAAGTACACGGCCCCCGACGGCCTCTTCACGCGCGAGGGGTGGCTCTGCCAAAGGCTGAGCTTGTGGACCTTTTGGTCAACCCATCGTTTCCGCATTGGAACCCACATCCCGGCCCTAATGCAGTCCGCAAAAATGGTGGCTTCCTTTTGGTTGCCTTGAAACCGACCCCAACTCAAAGAAACAGACCCAGCAAGGACATTGTGTCATCCAATTTCACCCTAGTGTACCCTTCCTCTAACATGGACTCCGCACTTAAGTTGATAACATGTCTGTCAGTTACTGCAATTGCCCTTGCGAATGAACAAGCATTGAGGCTGCCAGGCGCACAGGTCCCTTTTGGAAGACTGCCTTTCTCAAGCTCCGCTGTTTGGTGGGGGACCTATGGCTTGGTCCTTTTGCTGGTCCAATCCAGGGTCGTGTGCTTGTTGTTTCCCCCGAGTCTTGCTTCACATTTGCCGAGATTGACCAACAACCTGGGCAAGCGCACCATCGAGCTCGCGGATTTCCTGGCGCAGCACGGGTGGGCGCTCCTGCTCTGCAACGGCGGGAGCGTGACGCCCAACCCAAGCCACTCGCCCAACAACATCATCCGGGAGCAGCAGGCGCGTGGGTCAAAGGGATTTGTCCTGTCGTCCGGTCTCCCAAACAAAGGACCCCACCAAAAAAGGGGCCCGAAAAGGAAGTTTTAGTCGCTCTCAATTGGTTCCTGTTCAGATTGGGGCGGGGGGCGCCTGTTGGCGGCCCTCTGAAAAGAAAGTGTTATGCCAGATGGGTTTCCTTGAAGTGGTGCTGGTGCCCCCTAATAAACCTACAGAAACACACATCCCCCCTACAAGTAATGGGACTAGGACCACCTTCTTGTAGCGTGGTATGTTATGGTTTTGGGGTTGGGCGTCCACAGTGGCACACCCCTCCAAAACCAAATGCCCCGAATCCCCAGCACAGGCACTAGTCATCGCAAACACGCCTGCGAGCGGACAAGGAGAGACAGAAGAGGGGCTTGGGCTCCCCGCGTTGATCCTGTTCCACACGGGCAACCACAGTTGTGGTTCGGACTACTGACTACTGTTCCGAGCAAATTTCCCCAAGCATCAGCCCAGAACAGGTGGGATGTTGAGCATGAAGAGAAGTCGTTGGAGGGGGAGGGGGGTTCTAGCTTACTTGAAATACTTGGAGGCCTGTCAAAACTAGTGTCCCTTTTTTTGGTATCCGCGTAGGGCGTCAGGTGCCAGCGGCACTAGGTGCCAAAAAGCATCATAATTTCACAACCCCCCTAAAACCTGAGTTGCCTCGTGACCTCCCGCCATACTCGGCGGAATTCCCTAATGTTTGCTTCTTCTTGACTGAAAGGAGAACAACGCCGGATCATTTTTTGGACAGTTCCGAAGTTGGGGACCAATGGTGTTTTGCGCTGGTACTTGCCTTGGCCTGCCCCTGAACCACCCATGAATCCTTTGGCCCGAAGCGTGAGGGTGGGTTTCCTTCTATTTTCCCTTTGAATTAGTGACAAGGGGGTCCCTCAGAACCCCAAGCAGGTTGCACTTAGATCCTCTCGTTAGGTGAAGTTCACCCGGACCACCCCGGAGAAGGCCAAAGCCCCCCTGCTGATGATCGAGCTCCGCACGGTGCCCTACAGCGACGGGCCCCCGGCCTGGTACGGCTACATCGAAATTTGCGGGAAGGACACCAACGGAGCGCCTGGGTTCGCTTTGTGTTGGGCGGGGGCAGGGTCGGGGAAGGGGGTTGGAGGTCGCCGGTTGGAAGCAGTTGGAGCGCTGACTGAGGTTCATGGTCACCTCGACCGCTTCATCACGCATTACATGCACGGCAATTGCATCGGCCGGGGGAATGTGGGGCACTGTGACGTGATGTATTCGACCACCAAGTTCCGCAAGAAGCCGAGCAGCAACAACGAAAACGGCCGCTATGGTGGCTTGGCTTCTTAAGAGGCGCTTGTTTTGCTCAGGGGGGGGCCCAAACGAGTCCAGCCGGCTCGAGGATGCTGGTTTTCAAGTCGGGCTTCGATTCAAGCGGCTCTGGAATAGTTCTAGTTAGTAGGCCTGGCCAATAGTCAGGATGTACGACTTGGGCATGGGCTGCACAAAAGGGGCGGTGTAGCTGCGAGCGCAGGCGGCTACATGAATGGAGAGAGCAATATCGGCAAGTGGACCATGCGGCTTTGCGACTTCATGGTTGACCACCTGGGCGAGTGGGACTTGATCGTGTGCAACAGCGACAACTTGGACAGATCCTTCCAGCATGGCTCTGGCGACAACAAGCGCCCGAGCCAAAACTTCATCGCACTGGCTATTATGCTGCCTTGCGTCAGTTGCACACATGCACCACGCACGCGATGGGCTGGTTGGATTCCCTTGCGAACATCATACTGTTTCGTCTCGCGCTTTCGGCGCAGCGTGCTTTGAGAACATGTCCGCGACATGCTTTCCGGCATTTCGGATTTCGCCAAGATGGGCTTAGGTGGGTTAGGGTTTAGGGATTTGGCTTGATGCCCATAGCCTTGGCACTGGCGGAACTGGAGCTGCAGAGGTGAATATCACAGCTGATCATGGAAGTCCCGTCAAGTATGGGTGTCGCCTTGCCAACGTAGGCACTTCTGTATTTGGCGGAATGGGTTTCAAAGCACCGCAAGGTGGCAAGAATTTGTCCTCGGAACAGAGAACAAAGCTGCAAAGCGACCATCAGTTTGGCAGGCTTTGCCAGCGTCTGGTTGCTTGTCCGAGGTACTTTAACAGTGTCACGGCGCGAGAGATGCAGCTGGTTTTCCGCCACAAGGCACGGAGCGAGCGCAGCCACGTTCGGCAGTGTACCTAGAGGACTCATGGCTATGGTGACCGCCACATCTGGACCCCGGATGAACAACCCCATCCTAGTAGGGGTTCGGGACACCCTATGAATCAGCCGGGCGTCATTCATCCGTCAACATCATTCACTTCGTTCCGAGTGCAAAAGCTTATTCGTTTTGGGCGGGCAGCCCTCTTCGGGCCCATGGGAAGCGGGTTGACCGCAGGCGGGCGGCCGGGGTGTGTTCATGTCCGCCAGCAACGTCGAGCCACTGGGGCGGCCGCCGCTGCAGCCGCCGCCCTATTGGAAGGAGTGGTTTCAACGCGGGTGTCGCAAATGGGCAGGTTTCTAAATGGAGGGGCCCCAAAGATTCTGTGGTCTTCCTGTTGGTTTCCATTAAAACCCCCCCAAAAAAGTGCACCATCAAGAAACACATGCTCCGAAACAGAACAAGCACACACGGCTGCAAAAGCATGAAATCATGCAATGCAGTCCCTTGCAGGGGGAAGCGGCATGCCCAAGCCCCCATCCGCAATGGATTGCGAGCGGGTTGGCCCCGAGTGCTTAACTTGCCAAAGTGGATTTGGGCCCGTGATGTTGCGTTGTCCAATCCACATTCGTGTTTTTCTCCAAACGTCCTACTGCCAAAATGGCTTGCTTCCCTTGTTGCTTTCTTGGAAAGCATTACACATGGGGTACCGTCACAACAGGCACGGGCACGCCCGTTTGCAGCCCCAAGACGTTTGTGGATGTCTCAAGCTGTGCTGGTCTCAGGACGCGGGCTGCAAAGATGGGACGGTGGGGCACAAGCTGGTGCCCGGCACTCCGGAGGAGCTTACCTGGATGCAGGCCGGGAGATCGATCTCAGGAGGCCATGCTGAGGTGCTGTTTTAAATGCATGCCAGATGTTGGCTTTGTGGTGCTCAGGCGGGCTAGGTGTTCTCCTTTGCGTTTTTGGCGTTGGGTGCGCTGACAAGATTCAAAGGTTGAGGCTACGGGTCCTGCAGCTTTGGCCTCAGGAGATCCTGGACGGCACCTTCAAGAACAAGGTGACCCGGGACCGCAAGGACGGCCAGCCCCTGGCGGACCGCTTTGTGGCAGTCCAGTGCGTGCGCAGCGAGCACCCGGGGCTCTGGGACCGTTTCGCTGAGAGGTGAGGGATGAGGGCGGCTGAGGGTTGACCGGAGGGCTTGAGAGGGCGGGAGATGCGGCGAAGGGATGATGCAAGGTGCCCACATCTTGCTGAAAGGAAGTGGTCGCCTGATACAGACGTGGGAACCATTCAATACACTTCCCAATTCAAAACAGTTGCCAGCTCATCATTGGGTCCTTGCGCCCTTTGGCAGCTGAGTTATTCGTTTGCTTCGGCGACTCCCCTGAGGCGCGGCCTGGTGGCGGAGGCTGGCCGCTCCTCCAGCGACTTTGTGGAGCCAAAGACCATGGCGGCGGCGCCGGGCTTGGCGCGGCGGTGCGTGCACGCCTCTGTGGGGAACCCGGCCAACCAGGCGTGACGCATATGGACGGACTGGGCGTTTGTTTTTGAGGGTGCCCCCTTTTAGGTGTACAACTGCCATTGGTCGCGCATACAGAACTGATGAGGAGGAAGGTTAGTCAGGGTTGCCATGCCCTTGCATCACTTGAAGAGCGCGTCTTTGGGTAGGCCTACCTGCTGCATGGCACCAATCCGACCTCGGCAGTTGCCATTTTGCAAAACTCCTTCACCGTGGACTTTGCGGGCAAGAGCGCTGGCACCATGTTTGGACCTGGCGTCTACCTAGCAGAGAGCTCGACCAAGGCAGATGAATATGCTCGGGACGATGCGGGCGGCGAGTACGATGGCCTGTATGCCTTGCTGGTGTGCAAGGCGGTGTTGGGACGCTCCTATGTGACGGAAAAAGCCGGTGACTTCCGGGATCAGGCGGGCCCTTGGGCAGAAAAATCAATTGGCGGCGGCCATTTTTGAGACCAACCTCTTTGGCTTTGGGTTGGCAGCGGATGGGTTCCCTTCCACCTGCCTTTTCCTTCATCCCCAAGCCGACGGCTTTTGGAAGCCGACGGGTCCGTCTCTGGTCAGGTCCTGTCCGGGGAGTACGGGCACGTGCTGGGCGACCGCGAGAAGGCTGTGGGCACCTTCCGGGAGTTCATCTTCTTCCACGAGGCGGGTGGTCCTTTCAGCGGTGTTTCAAGGAGCCACAAGACGTTAAGTTTTTTTTTTTTTTGGGGGGGGCGGGGGTTGGGGGGGGTTGGGGGGGGGGAAATCTCTTCTACAGAGGCCAATTTTGAGAACCCCGGCGGTGTGTTTGCCCCTGTTCACGAGGCGTCCATCTACCCGGAGTTCGCCGTCTTCTACCGGCGTGAGAAGGACGGCAAGGCCGCCGGCCCCCTCCGAAAACACCATGCACCGGAATTTTGTTGTTCGGGAGCCCCGTTTGGTTTGGGTGCAATGTGACATGTGCAGACGATCAACATGGGAGTCCATCAGCAAGCGAAGGTGTTTGCATTTGAAACACTAGAAGGGTTGTAAAACTTTCTAGCTTGGATTGGGGGGCTTTGGAGACATGGTAGAATACTAACCTACTTTTACGGTGGGCCATGCCTCCAATCCAAGCAGCGAGCCTTCGCTGTTGGCTCGCTTTTGGTGTGTGGGTGGGTGGATGGAAGAGGCTATCGCTGGTCCCGCACCCAAATCAGAAACGTAGATGGGCGACAATGTGCCGGATAAACCCTTTGCGAGCTTTGGGCTGGTCGGCCTTCGGTTAGTATGTTGGCGTTGTTCAAGTTGCTTGATCGATGTGCCTTCCGGAATAAACGGACACACCCTTGGGTATCATGATTCCATTGCACAGGTCATGGCACGCCCAGAGAGGGAGCTGGCACCGGCGATGATGGAGATGGAGGGTGAAGTGGCGAGCATGTGAACTGGGCAAATTTCCCGGGAAACTACCTCGAAAACGGGGGTACGAGCGAAGACCCATGAGCCCTTGGAGATGCCCGATTTTCTGTCGGTGGAGAAGTTTGGTTTTGCCCAGATGTGACGCTCGCGAGCTGCAGAACCCCTTGCACTTCTGCCTTTTGACACAGGGACGATGGTTGCCCTGGGGGGCAAACATCATGTTCCTTTGGAAGCGGGTGACTCTTGTGTCAAGAGGAGCAGAGCAGACCTTTCTTGGTGCCCTGATATATCAGGCGCCCGAACTGGTTAGGGCGAAGCAAGGCATGCGCGGGCGCTGGCAATTGCCACCCTCGCTTGCGCGCTTCTCCCCAAATGCTTGTCAGGTCCCTTAAAGTGGCCCCGCAGCCTGAAGGGTTGTCAAGGTTTCGTTTCAGCGCGTCCCTTTGAACCATTCAGGGAGTAAGTTTCAGGATGTCACTTTAACGGACCGGTTGCCACACGGCAATGTCTCTGCTTGCCTCAGCCCACAACTGTCCTCAGGAATGGCTGGCAGCGGCTGGAGGTGTTTTTTTTCCGTTTGCCTTGGGCTCATGCTAGATGCGTCGAAGAAGTCGACGGGTCTGGCGTGCCCCTTGAGCTCAAGATTGCGCCCGGAAGGCCGGTGGGTGTTTGAATTGGCGCAATTCGCTTGGGCTCGGCTGCGAGCCTGGACATCTGATAGGGCGCATCTCTCAAATTAACGTCGACCTGTTTGTTGCCATTCTTCATCCCAAAACGTTTGGGTCTGATTGCCGTTCGCGCCCTCAAACCAGGCTTGGTGTCATTTCTCAAAGGCAGCAGGAGCGTGGAAAAGCAAGAGGATGCCAGCGGTGGCCATGACATTTCCTCTGCGTGGGCTGAGAAACTCTAGGGGTTGCTTTTGATGCCCCACGTTGCTCCCTCCCTCCCCTCCCTCCCTCCCTCCCTCCCCTCCCTCCCTCCCTCCCTCCCTCCCTCCCTCCCTTCCTTCCTTCCTTCCTTCCTTCCTTCCTTCCTTCCTTCCTTCCTTCCTTCCTTCCTTCCTTCCTTCCTTCCTTCCTTCCTTCCTTCCTTCCTTCCTTCCTTCCTTCCTTCCTCCCAAGCCATTTCTATTGGCGAGGCTTGGCCGCGGATAACCGCAAGACAAGACATCCCTTTCCTACATTCTGGGAAAGGGAGCGGGACAGCCGGGCCCAGCATTCTATCTTCTAATAACTCTTGTCAAAAATGATTCATTCATGTACGCTGGGCCACTTGACCCTTCCTTCTTGCATTTCCCAGATCTAAGATTAATAACAACTGGGTCGAAAGCTTGGCATGCCATCCCTGTCCTCATCCTTTGCTTACCTTCTCTCGCGGCCTTGCAAAGTGAGAAAAGAAGGGCAAAGAGAAGGCGGATCGCGTTGCAGCACGCTTTGGAAAGTGTTACAATAATGCAAACAAGTGCAACAAATGGTGGAATCCACAGTTGGGTCTATCCAACATGCTCCCTGTGTCCTCTCCAGTCTGGCGCGAGACGTTCGTGACTTCCTTGAAACCCATCCAAGAAGGGCTATTTTGAGGCGGGCAGCACTTCTCTCCCGGCCCGTCGCCGGAAGGCCTGCTCGCAGAAAAGGCAGCAGCACTTGGAGTCAGCCCTTTGGAAGTTTCTGTGCCATGAAGTTGACGCGCGGAAGTTTCCTCACACCGCAGGGCTCTCTCTCTCTCTCTCTCTCTCTCTCTCTCTCTCTCTCTCTCTCTCTCTCTCTCTCTCTCTCTCTCTCTCTCTCTCTCTCTCTCTCTCTCTCTCTCTCTCTCTCTCTCTCTGTCTCTCTCTCCCTCTCTCTCTCTCGCGGCTTGGAGCCCATGAGCCGCCCAGAGTAAACTGCATCACTTCTTTAAGTCTTTGCTGCCTTGAAACGCGGCTCAAGTAATTACTAGTACATATTGAAGTGCAGTACCTTTTTGAGAGAAGTCTTAGAGAAGTTAGTGTTAATTCTTGTGAGTAGTGCAGGTGAGAAGTACTGAATATTTAGTGAGTTGCATACGAAACAAGTGTAGTATGCGCAGAAGATTACACGCTCAGTGTAGCATGTGCATTCGATGTGTATAAGTTTAAAACATTTGATGTGGAGAAGTGTTTAGCCTCTAGTTGTGTTCTTCCAGAAGTGGTTTAGCTTAGTGAAGTGATTCTAGACAAGTGTGCACAGTTTGGTAACAAAGTGTGCAGGCTTTAAGTTAGCGTGTTGTGTTAGAAGACTTAGAGGTCTAATCTAGTAAAAGTGTTTGGATAATTGGGTGGAACTCAGGATTCTAGTAAAGTGTGCATGTGCTTTGTGTTAGTAAATTAGTATTGGGTGATTGTGATGAAGAGTGAGTTCTAGTAAAATGTGCATGTGATTTTTGTTTGTAAATGTGATTTAGAGCAAATGTGATTGTGACAAATCTAGTAAAGTTAGTGCCGTTGAGTGTGTGTGTGTGTGCGTGCGTGTGTTTGAAGCTGTTGCTGAATATGTAAGGGCATGCGAATACACCCATGGTGTGATAGCCCGTTTCGGAGCAAGCGGATGGCTTCACTACTGACCAAGTCATGGGTGACTGCCAGTCCAAAGCGAAGGCGGGAGACATTCCAAGGCATTCCAGGGCTTGGTGTCGTTTTGTTGGGAATCCTTTTTGGCTGCCCTTGCCCCAGCAGAGTCTCTGCAGTCTTTGCCCAGGTAGGCTCCAGTTGCGAGATTTGCTGTTACGTTGGGGATGCCACTTGGGCTTTTCTTTCTCTGGGAGAGCCCTTAGAAAATCGCTAGTTTTTGGGACAGCCCCCTTTCAGGGTCTTTCCTCAGCTGTCCGGAGACATGTGATCCTCCAGTTTTTGACATGTTGGCCGGCCATGCTCCCAGTTCAATCAAGAATCCAGGGCGAGCGAGTTGCCGCTCGCCCCGTGCGTGCTGCTGTTTGCGCCTTCTGACCCTCGTCAGGTCAAGCAGAGGGTACTGGATCGGGAGGAGCTGTTCGAAGCTGAAGTCACGTGATTTCGCAGCAGCAGCTCCAGCATGAATGTGAGTGACTTCGTTCAAGAAACAGGACAAAACAGTAGCCACCGGGCATGCCTAGCCTTCCTTCACACATACACGCATCCATTCGGGACCTTGCAAAAGACGAGGGTTTTGAAGAAGCTTTGGCCACTTGCCCAATGGCAATCGTTGTGCATGTTAGGCGCGGCGGCTGTGTGCCTTCCTCCAGCCTGAGCTATCCTTCCCGCCTGGGTTGCAAGCAAGCCAGGGCAGCGAAAACCGGGAGGGTTGGTTTGCGGGGAGAGCATGGTAGAGCAAATTCTATTATTAGACCCAGGCTGTTTGCTTAGCTTCGCCAATCCTCGACTTGCAGATCTTGCTGCGGGTTTGGGCGCCAAAAGGCCTCGGTGAGCGGCGATTTTGATCGGTGAGAAAGCGAATTCGCTCGCAGGAGCAGTTGAAGCAGGACTTTGAGCTGTCCCTCCAAGCCTTCAAGGTCCGGAAGCCAACTTTGCACGATAATTGGAACCCCGGATTTTGCAACACCCATTCCTACTGATGGGGGGGGGGGTGGTCACCCACAAAAGTCATCCGGATTCATCCGCCAAAAGGAGACACCCCTGATCAAATTCAATCCGGAATTTGTTTCATTGCGCTAGGAAGGTGTGTGAGGGTTGGCTTGATTTGAGTTAGCCTCCCTGGTCCACGTTGTTGGTTGGAAAGGGGCTATGTGTTCATGAAATTATTGCTGCATTTGCGGTTGGCGCAGGTCCTTCCCCTTGTACGGGGAAGCCCCAAGACGCAGGGTTTGCTTGCAGACGTGGGCAGGCTCCGGTTTTGGGCCCAAGGAAACCAACTAACCAAGCAGCCCAGCCCAATCCAACTGAACTCAGCCCAAGCAAACCTGGTTGGGCCGCACTTTTCCCCAAGCATCGTCCAGAGTCAAGACATATGGGGCTCGGCTCCATTCGCCAGGAGTGCGACCAACTCACGCGGGTGCCGCATTTGCTGATCGAGATTCGGTCCCTGGGCTACGTGGAGATACAGGGGAAGGACCGTCTCTGGAAGATGGGTATGAAGTCGCAGCCCCACATGTGGAACCCCAGGTCCCCGGCTCATCTTTGGCCAAGAAAGGAAGGCAAGCGTGAGAGAAGAAGCCCTCTCCTTGGCCAAAAGCCTAAGCCAGGCGGCCGATTGAACCCATACCGGCAAGTCAGCCAATGGCCTCCCAAATTCTGTGGGCATGGAAGGACACGGGGGGCATTTACCAGAAGCTGGACGCCTGGCTGACCAAGCACTGGCGGCTCGGCGGGAGCGGGGTGGGGGGGTTCGGGGCGGCCTCATTTCATGGTGTGGGTATTCTTGGTTCACTTTGCAATCCAGAAAATGGGGTCAATTGATTCTAGATGCATTCATTATCTTCAACTTTTCCGGCTAGTCAGCGAGGGTAAGGGCCAACATAGGCAGATGCGACATCAAGAAGGGTGCTAAGCGGGGGGGGGGGTTTGGAGGAATCCTGGTGGAATACATTGAAGTCGATTTCGTTATTGGGGGTCTCAGGATCTGGTTTAGGGTTTAGGATTTACCCCTCCATTTAGGGCGCCTTTCTAGAACGTCCGCGGGATTTCAGTCAGTCATACTACGTAAAGGAAGATTCCACATGTCCCCAGTTAACACAGCCATGCGCGTTTTCACAAGCACCGGAGGCTAAGGGCGCAAAGTGCTGGGTGTGTTTGGCGCACCACACAACCAACAATCAGGTATCCCTTCATTGGTGGTTCGTATTGGTGGCTTGGGAAATGATTTGAAGCCCTGGTTCTTGTAGAGTGCGCGGGAAACCGCCGCCTCACCACCAGAGGGAAGCTGAAATAGGCACCCGAAGACCCGCCGTGCTCAGGCGTGCGAAGGAGACGACCCAGACCATCATTGCGCAGTGTGAGGAAGAGGCGACGCCTGAGACACCTGGATCCAACATGATTATTACCCTGCAGGTTGGAAAAGGGCTTGTCCCCGTTCAGGCGCTTTGGATCCACAAAGGTGCTAGTTTGGGGTTTCATCCTTTGAAATCCTTGCCAGAACTCCAAGCACTCACACACACACACACACACGTACACTGACACACGCTCACACTCACACATTTTCTCACGTACACGTGCACTTGCACTTACACGCTTAGAGACTTCCCTTTAGTCTATTAGATGGTTAGGGGCTCGGGTGAAAGTAAGCACGAGCCTGGTGGGACAAAGCTCGTTTCCCATAAGTTCAAGCCACGCGGCCCCAATTGCAAGCTCACGCCAAGGACTTGCTGCTGCGGCTGGGAGGAGGAGTATGTGCTGGGCCCCTTGGAGCCGCATCACCGACTCTGCGATAAGAGCTACATGCTCGGGGAGCTGGACGAGCATGTCGGCAACGTCACTTTGAACGGCACCTACAAGGACGGGTTCGCAGTCTTTCCTGTAGACCTGGAGCTTTGGGGCCGAAGGGCTTCAGGTTTGCTTTGTGGATGTGGCGCAGGTTGTTCCATGTTTTGAGGGGAGCAGCGTGCACCCATTCCTTGCACACAGCGCGGTGACAACTCACGCCCGCACTGCGCCAACGCTCTTTGCGCCCTCACTGCATATGTTTTGTTGTAGGGCCTGAGCCAAGACTATACATGCGCAGGCTACTCTGGTACACCAGCGCTGGGAGGCACAGCTATGGCTTACGCCCAGCAATATGTTCAAGCT